TTAAATTCGTTTTATATATATTTTTAATCTTAACTTTTTATACATTTTTGTGGAGTTACAATTTTTGTCTACGTGAGCATGCATTAACACGCCCAAGCCTCATAATCAGCACCGAGGCAAGTTAACCTTGTGTCCTAGTTAAACACCATATTAATCGTAAATGGGTGACTTCGGACTTGTACAGATGCATCCCTGTTGTTGTGATGCGGGGATAACTTGTTAACAATTATCGGCCCAAATGTATGATTAAATTTTGTCTCAGACCTTCATTTTTGCTCCTAGCTCCATACTCAAGTGCATGCGTGCACAATTTGTCGTCCATCCATACGCGGCGTATCACCTGTTCATACACGCAAACATATACATATCATATTGTAAAGGTTACTTCTTGGCATGATGTTTGGGCGTGAAGCCCAATCTCCTGTGCTGTCACCTCGCCCACCCCTTGGCTTCACAATCCGTCCTGCGCCTCCTTCGACTTGCCCGATTGGAACTGACCCGATGATTTACCTTATTGATCATCACTTAAGCGCCGTTCCCCGGGTCGCCCCAAAACTGCCCGTCTCATGAAGCGGGAAGTTGGGGCGCCGCCTTGGTTCACTTATGACCTGTTTGTTTGTATGCCCATTTGTCTGTGTCTGATGCATGTATGTATGTATGTGTGCATGTGGTATGTGTCCGTATGCATGTATATTAGCAATCGGAATCTGTATGTATGTATACATACAAGACAGACCGTCAGTCAGCTCGTCTGACGGCCTAACTGCTGGCGGCCTGACTGCCTGTTAGCTGTACGACCTGGCGGTATCGGGTAGCATGAGTCATTGGAAGATATGACGACCTGGGTGGACGCGACGCGAAGTAGAAGGGCGTTAGCTCTGCGACCAAGGCGTTCACTAGGTCAGGGCAGTAGGCTATTTGCAATGCCAACCGGCTGTAGTCCAATAGATTCTGTCTTTCGGCTCACCCTGCCCCCCAACCTACACGACACGTCAACGTTTGTTCAATGCCGCCGCGCTTACGAGCTACACTTTTTCGCAATGCTTTTGGTTGTCGCTCTCATCTTCTTCTCCCTCGCTCCTCTTACACACCGTCCAAGTGAACCGGTTTTTCGAGGGGCGTCGATTGAAGCTTTTTCCGAACCCATCTGTCTATACACCCCCGCCAGCCTAGGGCCTGGTGGGCTGAGCCACTGGTGAGTTCATCTGATTTGTTAGGACGTCGTGGCTACTTGAGTCTGTGCATTGTTTGTCTGTTTAACCTTACCCTATCAGCGTGACCACTGACCGAGCTTTTCTCCTTCCGGCACTTCCTCCGGACTGTTCGATATAAGAAGTTTTCAATACTGTCAATGAGACTTAAGCTGTGGGTTGGTCCAGCTCACTCAATTCCGGTCCAATCCAATCCGATCGAGTAGACCCGATGAGGATAGCCTCTTGGGCGGTAAGGTTTAGCTAAATTTTCTATCATTCTGAGGCCTAATTGTGTGTTTGAGGTGGCAGTAGACAATTTTAAATCGCACATACCAAAGCGAGAATGGTCTGGCCTCTATTTTGGTCTTCAGACCCTTGAACCATCGTTACTAGAAATGCGGCAGATATCACAATCAAGAAAGGGGTCAGCTGACTGAAATCATACTCAACTTTCCTACTGAGGCATCCCATGATTTGGTTGGCTACTTTCTACCTACCATGCATGCATGTAGATACATATTGATACACGAACGGGGAATGGATTTGGTCACGACTACAGAAACACACCGAACCTACCATTAGATGGCTCATTGTGCAATCAAAATTGAGTGTGATTGGTTTCGTGTGCTGGTGCTAAATTTTGTAAATGAGGCCTTCTTGTTCCGACGATGTGGTGGCGAAGGCAAAAGCTCGGCACGACTGGATCGGCCTTGAGGGACGGTGTGTCCAGGTCTTGTTTCATAATCTCTCTGTATCCTTCGGTTTTCTGTGTGGCAAATTTATGAATCTCTTCTGGCCACGGTTTCTTTGGACTGTAAAGTCAAGCAAAATTAATCTAAGGTATAAAGTTGTTTGACCTTGTTTTCGCAACTCGGTCATATTGGTAGGAAGACTTAGAGAAGCGCACCTAGTCCGGAGTCCATAGTATGCATCATCATTTCCAGAGTAGGACCGTGGACGTGGTACATTCCCAGACGTTTCGCCGGCATCATCAGTGAGTCTCGACATTCGTAACACCATTCAACAACTCGGTTGGCCTATTCACATTTCCTATATCCTCCTATCATGCCTTCCCTGTCACAGTTTTTTACCGTGCTTATTCT